GTGGGCGAGTCGGTTGGCGACGCAATGTCCAGGTCACGGGGTGTCCAACGTGCAGGGCCTCAAGAGCCGCAACTCAAACCTTCAACATGGGTGCGAGGCATGTCCATTATTCGGGCGATCCACGCGTGGCCCCTTATCGTTGATCTGCTTCGAAACAGAGGGCGGGGATGAAACCATGGGTGATAACAGGTCGTATCATGCATAACGCAATAAAGCACATTGCGATTTATGAATTTACTTCTAAAAGTTCTTAAATCTAAACGCAACCTATTTTGACATCAAAATGGGCGTTGACCCCGGCAGGGTGCGTCTTCTTAGCGCACAATGCCCTCGTCCAGCATGGATGAAAGGGACTTTCACGCTTGGATCAAAAACCTTTCGTGGGCCACAGTAAATGGCTCCTCGGGTCGCATGCGACATGCGGGGCGCCAGTTGGACAACCCTGGTCTAGATCCTAGAGGTTACCTCTTCGCTTGTCGTTTGACTGTCGTGTATGAAGTGTTTCGTAATGTGCTGACTTAAAACAGTAGTTTGAGGTGGATGATTTAATGCACTTATGCACATTGTGGTGGGGCAATGGGGAATGCTGGAAAATGTCTTATTTAGGGTCCACAGTTATATTTCGAAAAACGTATGTTTCGCCTTTTCTTTTGGTAAAAAAACATGTGAATTACTGTGAAATACTTTATTTAAAACTGACATTGTCGCATAAAACCTTATTGTTTTTTTGCAGTATTCTTTATTTTATTATACAAAGAAGAATTTTTAAATTTTCTTTCATTATCATTACAATGTCTGAATCGGTAAATAATTATCATACAATCATTGTTTTTTTTTTACTTAGCGACATGTAATATAAATACAAGTACGGCGATGTAATACTAGTACTCGTATGTTGTCTACATGTAGTATGGTTTAATGTCATAAGCACTTTTCGGTTGGGTGGCGATCATCAAAGCTGATTTGTCTTGTGGGCGGTGAAAACATTATCAACTAGACACAGGAGTTTTCTAGGTATCAAGGAGTTTTCTAGATTTAAGTGTAAATCTTCTATACCAACTCGCTGACGCAATCGACCATTTAATTCTATCAGGTGCATCAATATTTACAACGACTTGAAATGCTTCTTTATTCCTATATGTATGCATTACGTATTATATTTTGTATTTATGACTCACGATCTGAAATGAAAAATAATCTTACAGAATGTGCCAATATTTGTTCTACAGAATACTTACAAACTGTCATTTATTTTCGTACTGTTGCAACTTTTTTCTCCCCTTCAAATCTCTCGTGCTCCGTGAGAACCTACAGCCCAAAAGACACGAAAGTCGAGGAACAAGTATGTGTCATCGGGAACGTTCGTTCTTCTGTGTTGGAGCAGAGGAACGCCGGTGTCGGCATCTGGCGAGGGGTAGTAACTCGCGCGTTGCTTCCTGATCCGGCGGACTTCCAGAAGAGAGGGCTCGGAGCGTCAACGAATGTCACTGTAGGCCCTCTGACTGGGAGGTTCTAGGTTCGAGTCCCGACGGTGGCAGGATTATTACATTAGCTTGTCAGCTAGAACGAATGCAGTCGCTGCCTGGAGGAGAATTCTAGCGACCGGCTGCTCTGATCCGTGGTTTCTGCGATCAACTTCAGTCGAATGCCAGAGCAGTATCCTAACACACGGGCCACGGACCGTGCGCCATATTTCCTTCCTCTTCCTGGCCCTATCCTCACCCCTTACACACATTAACATGCACTACACCACCACACGTGCCGGGAGACCGGTCGGGCGCTTAGACCTTGCCCGGCTGGGGCTGGTGGGAGATACCTGGTTCAGGAAACACCACTAGCCGGCTGTAGGTCGGTGCCGGACCTCGCCATCCAGCGGGGGAGATAACCGCCACCACCTGAAGAAAAAAATATTTACTACATTTTCGGGACTAATGTCCTCAGTAGTTGACGCGTCCAGAATCACTAGCAATCAATCAATCCTGAAACGGAGCAGTGAGGTGCTTTGGGCGGCGTGTGGCGGTGGGTAACTCCCGCGCGTTCGCTTCCTGTTCCGGCGGAGCGGGAGGGGGCGCGCGCGTGCGCAGTCTGCGTTTGTTTCCTTGCGAGGGCCCGAGGCCACAGCCACAGGCGCCAACCGCGGTGGGCGCGCGCGTTATAATAATCTTGGCGTGGTGTTTTTGCATTCAGTAATGAAAGTGCTTGCCCGGGTGGCTCATGGACAGCGCGCTAGCCATCCCAGAGGCGGCCTACCCACTCGCCTCTTGCTAGCGCCAAACGCTCGCTCTTCGTCTCGTCTTCCGCCCGCGTCGCAGACGGCGGTGGCGCGCGCAGCCGCTCAGCGAGCGCAGAACGCGCCGCCCCCCTCCCCCCCCGCCCGCTGCGCGCAGTGCGCAGGCGCGCGGATTCCGGGAGCGCCAGCTCGCCCCCCTCTCCCCCCCCGCGTTCGTTATGATCTTCACTTTTCCTCCGGTTCCTCGAGCGCCTTCGCCACCAAGTGCCTTCAGAGGACTTCGCTTGCGATTGAGCACTGCTTACGTTGGTACCGAGGTAATTAGGTGCAACAGGGTAACGATGATTGGGAGTGTAATGTCTGTTCGCTTTCGGAAATGTTCGGATTAAACGAAAAAGTGTCCCGTACATACACTCGTATACAAATACATTTGTAGGATTACCAGACAATGCAACGTAGAGTGCGATGTGAAAAAATGGCAACAGCGTAGCGATCGCATCATCACGTCATGAATTCAGATACTTACGGCAAATGATGATTACCGATTTTGCAAGTTCCCCTATGTGAAAATTACTGCTACATAACCACGTGATAAACACCGTTGTTGCCAGTGGAATAAAAGTTTCATTTCGACACCTTGTGTTTCAATAATTAGTTGTTCAGTTTCTACAGTAATTGTGAAATCCTTTCTTAATACTACAAATAAGCATTTTATTTATTATGTTTATTTTTCCTCCATCCAGAATTCTGTTTGCATTATTCGAAATTTCGGATTTGCCGGATTCGGCTTACTGAGGTTCTACTGTACCTTGTAAGCGCGAGGGGAAGACGTTTTAAATTGAATAAGTAATATTTGCCATAAAACAATCAAAAATCGCCGTTTAACTTCGTAACCTTTCAATGTACGAACTACCTCCCAAATGAATGCTTACGTTCTCGTACTTAGAGCAAACCGAAGAATAATTTTCTGTGCAATCCACCCTTTTTACATGAAGTGATATTACATCATGTCAACTACGGTTGACACATACATACTGACTTGCGCTGCAATTATCTGCACGACCAGTGCCGTCTGTCTTCAGATCTGCTGAAGTGGATCTAGTAAATCTGCCAAGCCCGGCGGATAATGTGGGTGTGATGGATAGTTATACCGATGCGAAAAATTGTGAGTGTCTAAAATACCCATTCTGAATTTGGGGTGAAAGAAATATTGCATAAACGTCAAATTCCAGAAATGAACGAATTTTGGGTGAGAGAAATATTCCATAAACTCAAAATTCACAAACAAAAGAAGTTTCTCGGTAATGCGACGGTAATGTACATGCGATCAACTAAGTTGGCAACTAGATAATAAACGTGATAACAATTTAATTAAAATCATGACAATTTGAAGAACTTTTTTTTTTATGTTTCCGTATGTTTCAAGGGAGAGTAGGGGGGGGGGACCACCCGGGTGGACTTCCCTCTGGGACTGGACCCCCACCGCCGCGCCTCAAGCGTGCGTCCCCACGGCCTGGCGCAGACGCTCGTCGTCCTGTTGTTTTGGCCGCACGCATTTGCTGCAGTTTGCATGCGAATTGGAACGGCTTGAAAGCGTCCGCGCTCGCCGCATGAAGTCCTTGGGCCGACGCTAAGGTCAGCGCGTGGCTCGCTGGCTCTTCGCGGGACTTCTGCACCATTGGGAGAGAAAGGAGATTTTGAACACGCCGTGCGCGAAACGCTAATCTATTCACAGTTGATTCATAAACATCTCTAAGCATTTGCGAAACATCTGTAACGTTTCGGAATTGTCTTTCCTCTTGCCGATTCTTTTTTTATTATTTAAAAACGATAATGTTACGACTCTGGCTGGAATGAATTTACTTTTGTACAAGTAAGGTATTTCTAGTTATTTGATATTTAATTTATATTCCTTTACTTGACGCATTGCATTTCGCTCACGGCGGAATAAAAAATAGTATACGCAACACGGGCGCGAGGTGATTCCCGCAATCGTCTCTTTGTCGTTCGAGCGTAGCTCGTACGACAAACTCGACCCGTGTGTGTATCTCCTATTTCGCACCCATGTTACGAAAACTACTAATCTGAGTATAGAGGTCGCTCGTTTTGACATTGACAGTGATGAAAATTAATGATTAACAGAGAGAGATATTAAAGAAGAAACGTAATATATTCGAATATTTCGTGTTATTGGGCTCTCGTATTTCATTCTGCGCACCTACTACGGCATGTATTACAACGGACTGAAAACCTGCTGAGCTTACATATTTTACCAAGTTCGATGTCGGCTGTATTTTTTCTTACATTTTACGTATTTTATGAAGTTATTCTTTCATTTAAAATATTTTTAAACATTTGTTTATGAACGCAAATGCTGTTATACGATGAGATTGAAATTGATGTACAAGTATGTACATATGTGGCCTGTTAGGCTTTTAACACTTTCAGCGTGATACTTTTTTCCCCAGACTATGATGATCTGTTTTAGTATCAAGATATAAGACAAGTTGAAAAGGAAAGAGAAATTCACAAATCGATAATTCATCGATGAAGCGAAATAAGACGCCATGGAGAATTGGCTCCATTAGACATTTTAGAGTTAGAATATAAATATTACATAATGAATCATTTTCCCAATAATTTTAAATTGTGATTTTCCCATGCTTCCAGTGTTTAGCACCCATCCTTTAGCCGGAATAAATGCCTAGTTTAAGAGAATACGTGCCTGGGCGCCGGGCCCCGCTGATGTGCGTGCGTGCGTGCGTTGCAGGCCGAGCGCGGGAGGCGGCGACGCAGCTGGCGAGTGCGCAGGCGCGTGCGGACCGCGGCCGCCCCTCCGCCCCCGCAGGTGAGCCCGGCGCCGCGCAGCCCTGCATCAGGGGACGGGGCGCCATGAAATGCGTCGTATAAATATAGTTGCATTTTTCTTCTAGGACGCCTGGAAGTCTCTTCAATTCTTATTTAAATGTCCTAACGCGCATGATCCTCGCCCCCTTTTTTCACACTGCATACAAGTATTTTTCGTAATTTTGAACGCATGTTGGGTTGTGAATGAATTACCGATACTTGCGCTTGTCCATACGTTGGTAGCATTAGTCTCTTCCGCTGTAGAAGATCAAGACTGCTGAGGAAGGATGTGCATACGCATACAGACAGCAGCGGCAAGTACTCTTTTTTCAAATGGCTTCTTCGGAAAATGTACTTACATTGTAGTTATCTTTTCTCAGAGACTATGATTCACAATTTATTGAAATTTACCGTATGTATTCTTTATTATATTGGCAATAAACTGACATTTTATACAAACATTCGTCAATAATAAACAAAGTCCTACAGTGCTGAAAAAAGTAGGGCAAATGTTATAATTGAAAAAAAAACTGTAATTATTTTTTTATCAACTAAAAAAAAATTCAAAATAATAACAAAGGCTGTACCATTAAGTGTGCAAAATATTAAAGTTTTCTAGGGAACCATTTTCTAAAAAAATCATGAATTTTAGCGAATTTAACGTAGACGAGGTACAGGGTACTCCCTCCCCCTAAGCGCCATCTTCGCACTCACGACCGGATCAAAACGAAGAGAAGATACACACAACTTTGTACTCGAAAATACGGATGACCTGCAGCAGCCACAAATGCTGCTTACGAAAATCACACGAAATGGCTTTCCGGAAAGTAGCATGTACACTCCTCAAGTACCGCAAATAAAATACTCTCATGTAACTCAACAACATATTAAATATTTTAACAAAAAGAATCCACATGCGTAAGAGACTAACATAATATACGGATTCGAATATCCGAATAAAAAATACAGCCTTTCTTTACATTTACAAAAAAAATAGTAGGTCGCCTTTTACTTGCAGCCTTGGAGGCGCATGATGCGAGCTGCGACGCAAGCAGTGGCTCCTTGGGTATGAAAATTAAGACGGCTCATGCGGCAGGAGAGAATGGGCGAAGTAACGATAAGATATTTGCAATTATTAGCCACAATAGAGACTATTTCATTGATGATTAGTTCTTCAGAGTTCCTGGATATCTAACAAAAATGCAGACACCTCTCACATGGCTGTAGACTGCAGTTTTCTTTCGATTTCTACGGACATTGGAAATTTGAATTGTGGATAATTTTGTATTTTCCCGAGTTCCTCGGTATCTGACAAAACTATAGACATCGCTCCCACGGCTGGGGCTTTCAATTTCTGCACGCATTCGAAATTAGCCATATAGATGCTGGGTGGATGGAAGTATTTGTTTTTGCATAACTGTGTCGAATGAGAGGCTTTTCATCTGAAAGGGGGGGGGGGTAAACACGTCAGGACAATGACTGAGTTGTGCTGTTCCACGGTCATGACGATATTTTAATTTCGGGGGGGGGGGTAATTTTAGATGAGGCCCCTTCGTGTCCGTACAGCAAAACAGGAAACTACATTTTATTTCATGTGATTGGCGAGACAGAATCGGTTGCTTGTGCAGAACGTTCCAGCACGCAGAGGATGGGCGGCCGCGTGGGCGCCCTCGCCAGTCTGTTGCCCACCCGGCGAGCGACGGCGCTGCATAGAGTTGGTGCAGTTCTTTGACGAACCTATCGAATCTTCTCTTCCAGAAGGTTCTATAGTCAGTTCAAACGCTAGGCGGTGATAGGTTCCCCACTCTCCGTCCTCTGATGGCGACGCAATCGCCACCTTGAGAAATCAGTTTGGCAGTGAACAACATACGAAGCACATGGATGTGATTCGCGCCCACAGGGTTCCGTGTAAGACAGGAATTCTTTGCACGTACATTCTCGCCTAAGTTATTGTCGTACAAGTTTCGAAGTCTCGTAATGGACAACAACAAATTACGCAAACTCGACTGTTAGTTTGTGTCACAACCTGAGTTGAACACGACATTGTGCATGCCGCCTCAGATTAGAACGAAGCACAGCTTCACGTAATTTTTTAATGTTTTCTGACAAACATCGCTGTATCAAGTATTAACTGTACGGAACTGTGTAACAAGTGAAACAATTGAACGGTGTATTCATGTATTAATGCTAGTAAAGTGTGACTAAGAATAAACTTGTTTGTGCAATACTATGTTTGTGTGAAATTAGAAGCACATCCTGTAACCTGTATGCTATTAAAGGGATTCGAAGATTGCTCCGCTTGTCAATTAATAAATCTCCCAATGAATACACACCCCTGAACCTCAAATAAGTGAAGCAACCTCGAACAAAGCCCTTGTGAGGTTTTCAACATTTCCTGAAAAAATCGAAAAAATTTGTAATTTTTTTTGTGCTTAAATAGGTGAAAATACATTTATAAATAACTTAGATAAATTTCGGCGTAAACGGGGTAACAAATAGAAAAGTTTAAATTTGCTTGGAACTTGCCTTTCACCTTCAACAATAGTCAGAGATTTATTTTTCAGTGCATTTTTCTCTCAATTACAGAACTTTAAATTATCCCATGAATATTTTTTAATGTGAATAATTGTTAAGTAATTACACCAATCGAAGGAAAAGTGTCGGTGTGCAATACTCACTAGTAAAATTCTTTGGCTCGACAGCCCCATAGGGGCCTTGGCCGACCAGCGGAGGACCAGCCTCTCGGCCATGGGAAAAGGGGTTCGTGTGGTTAGCACGAAGACATCCCTCTCCCCGTACACAGGTCTTCATAACCTCCCTGTGGGCTTTGTCGTCGTCACGCGGCGATAGGTACTGGGACATGGAACGCCACCTGAGCGACTGCATGGGCCGTGTCTTGTCGGGGGCGGGGGCGGGGGCGGGCAGCCCGCTTCCTGCCGCCGGCCGGCGCCGCGCCAAGGCCTCCTGCGCGACCTGCGTGACGTCACCCAGGGGCCGTCTCGCGCCGCCGCCGGCGCCGGCGCCGCGGATCCTCCTCTGTCGTTACGAAACGACGGCAATGGCAGGAAGGAGCGCGCGTTGATGGCAGCCGGGCTTGCAGAAGCGAGGGGCGCCTGCAAACCACACGGCGGAGAAGGCCTTTGCGCCTCAAAACCGCGGTCACTGAGAGGAAACTCCTGGTGCTAACACGGCACGTACTCTCTCGCCCGTGTTTTCGCGCAAAGTTAAGCCAAGAGTACTCAAATTTGCGAAAAATTGTACGTGACCTTATTTCAAAACCTATCTTCAAGGAATAGATTTAATTAAGGGGAAAACTCTTAGACTTCATTAAGGGAAAGGTGCCGAAAAAATTTTGAACTTTAGCGATTTTCGACGGACGGACGGACAGACAGACGACGTTTTTCCGTCATTCGATTGTTGCGGCATGAAGGACCCACAAAACATGGAGTCTGGCTACATCTAAGGATTACGTAAAATAATTTTTTTGTGAAGTTAGCAACTGAATTTGTCCATTTTTTCGTTGCCAGTACCCTGATTTAAGTCTTTTTACCAAACTTTTTTTTTTCGCGCGAGAAAATAGGAAAAAATCTTTTCTTAGGCAAATATATAGTAGTACAGTTTATTTGATCGTGTATTATGTACGAATGTATTCATTTGTATGCCGATCTGATTGTATGTGTGTGTGCATTTCTGTTGAAATATGAGTTCCAAACAGACAACATTGTATCTACATCCTTCTTGCATTTCAAAGGCCACATGCGTGATAAAATAATGCTGGGGCCTACATCTTCTGGTGCCGCCTTAACAGAAAAAACAGGCAAAAATCAAACAATCCTGGCGACTGCAGTTTTATAGATAACAAGCAAAAATATGGTTGATCTCATTAAAATATTACCCATAAGCGCTAAAACAAGAGGAAGGGCAACTTTGCGTATTTCTAGACCCTTTTTCCATTAAACGTTTTAATTAACATCCACATTTTAACAGTAAATAAATAAGACTTACTAGATGGATAATAAAATTAAAACTTTAATGATGCCATTGTTTTTATGTTGAACCGTTTATAAGGTTACAATATAGTTCGGAGAGCTTCTCGCCCAGATGACTTGTATCAGCCACCTAGTGTCAGCTTATAAAGGGGAAATTCCGGAATTCATTATATTTACGGAAATAAAATGTTTCATTACATAGGGATTCGGGGCCCCTTTCCAAATTTTCTCCCCCCTCCCCCTCCCTCTGGTTGTTCACCTAGGTAGCTACAAAGAATTCCGTTTTATGTGCACTGAGAAAATAAATCTGAAACTCCCAACAACTTTCCCGTAGTTTGAATGAACGTGATTGACAAAAGGATGAATATATTAGATTGAAGTGATGCCTGATAAAGTGGATTTTGTATGCTCTTAGGAAGTAAACTACGATGCTACGCGAAACTGAATACCCGTTCGGGCCGTTTTTCTCTAACTGCCTGCGCGCAGAATGCAGGATTCTGTGGCGGCTCGTGTTTAGGTTGCACAACCCCCTGATAATCGAAAAAGATCTCGTAATAACTTAGGAATAAACATTGTCCTTTTAATGGCGTTCAATAATGCATTGATATCGATGTATAAGAAATCATTTTAGAAGCAGAGGGCGTCCAACTGGCGCTGTCGTCGTAATCCGGTGCCTTGCCGCGCACTGGCATGACGCGTTTGGCTGTATTACTGGCTTTACTGCATTTACTCTTTGGTCCTCCGATTCAACACGGGGAACATAGAACTTCTTTGTTGATGCACCCAGGTGGGTGGCGCTGTCTGGTGCTGCGAGGCGATGAAGGCGGTCTCAGGGGAATCATAATCTGTCTTCATCTGACTCGATGCAACGTGATTTTATGAATTTCTATTGTTATTGAAAGTACATAAGTTCAGTCAATTATTGACGACATTTAATGCATTATTATGATGTATATAGAATTTTGTTTCATTTGATATTAGATTTTTTATTCAAACTGTACACGTGCTAAATGCTTTGTATAAAGCTGGTCATTCTGGAAGGACGACCCTTTCCGTCTAAAATGGTGGATGCATATTTCAGCCTGGAGCAGCCTGCAGGACAGACGGAGAGCGCTGGTGGGAATACGCGCTTGTGTGGAAGGATCTGTGGTACAAAATAAATCAGGGTAGTGAAATTTTCGAAATAAAATGATTTTATTTGTTTTCAATGTGTCGAAGCAATAGTGCGTCTTGCAATGTGCTGGGGTGGAACTTAGTGTCGTATGGAAATCGAACCCAGAACCAGTAAGCAGGAAGTGAATAATATGCGTGACACGGAAACGTCGCATAACATTATGGACGTAATGTTTCAATATAGACTTTTATTTGACTTAGTTTTAATTAATTTATTACGTATTTTGAATTTTGGAAATTACATTTCCGTCATTCGATGGAGGTGCAATGTCGAATCTTTTGGCGTACCTGCGGCCACGGCTGCAAACAAGTATTTTTTCAGTGCACCCAAAAAGTACCTTTAATATACGCACTTGAGTCTTGGTAAGACCTTAGTAGCGGAGTATTATTTCAGAAAGGAGCATGTATGTAAAATGTCGCCATATGTTTTTTGCGTTTCCATGTTCCTAAAGTGGTTTGTATGACAATAATAAACTCTAAATTTAATATCAATTTATTATTGCCCTACCATGAACACAACGTATTAACACACTACATTCAACAAACACAAATAAGAATTATAACGATTTTTACCTTAATAATTATATTAACTATTTGATTATATCATCACAACCTGGACCTCATAATTCTAGACGCCGTCGATTCTTGATTTTCACGACGCGATAACAGATCTACATCATTCAATGTTTAAGCATGCTCGTCAAATGAAGAAGATTTGGCCAAAATGACAGCAATCCTATTTTTTGATTCTTGCTGCACTTTACAACTTTTCGCATTTTAAATATTCACGGACGGATTGTGATGACCTAAAAAGTCTTTGTGGATGAGCTTTAAAATGTCTTAAAAATAAGAGGGGATTGACGTATAAAATGATATTAAAATTAGGGGAAAATAATATTTTTTTAAAATACTCAAAGTTTTTATAAAATCCATTTTTCATTCAATTAAATTTAAATAAAATGTATTTCATAGTCTAAGGTCTTTCATTTAGGAGGGAATGTGATCCTTAGCTGCGATCACCCAACCGCCGGTTTTGAAAGATCGAGGAAATTACGGAAGAATCGTGTAATAGAGTTCGGAAAACCACTGAAGTAGAGAATTTCATGAACTCGTATTGCAATAGAAACTTAGTTTTAGTGTTTTATTCTAAATTCTGAAGCATTCACTAACAAAACACACAAAAAGGAAACAAAATTCGTAAAAATGACAAAACTGATGCAGAGGACAAAAACAAATTATCCAAAAAATTGCACTAGTGGTGCTACAAAATGGCACAGATTTTTCCGTATTAGTTTTATTTTTCCTCTGGTCTCAGCAAGCTATTCGAACTTGCCACATGCTCTTGAAATACTTTTTTTTTTTTTTTTCTTAAATTTTCGGTTTTCTAATAGAGCGCAAATATTATTTTAAGAATATTAAACAACAGTAAGACCGCGTGATAAATAGCAATTTTCTTTGAAAAATTTGGAGCGGTTTTTAAGAAAATGGCGATTACACCTGTAGTAAATTCGAAATTTGAAGCTCTTTTTCACAGAACATTTTTGAGTTAAAAAAAACTTCATTTCAAGTTATTTAAAGAACTTTAACTCACAAATACTATAGTGTTTACAAATGTCTGAAAATGTGGGTATTGCCCTGCAAGATACCTTAAAAAAATGTGTAATTTAAAAAAAAACACGAAATGAAGTTTACATTGTATTAGAGTGCAATTTGCAGTATCGTTTCGAAAAGTTTGAAGGAAAAAATTTGGTGCCCTTTATGAGAAAATGGCGTTTGAGCGTTTCTGAACTTGCGAAATTTTGAGCGTTTTGACAGGAAACAGTTGTTTTCGAGAAGCTTTATATGACATTATTTTAAGCACATGTACTCATAAATATATTTTTGAAAAAACAAAGGCATACATCAATATGGCGTTTATGTCGCTTCATAGTGTGCATTTAGCAAAATATCTGTCAAGAGTTTAAAAAAAAATTTGGAACCTTTTTTGAGAAAATCTTGTTTTTGTATTTTTTTAAATTGCTCAAATTGCACGCAAACTCCTAAAATGTTCAAAAACAAGTTCATGCCCTTAATGAAAGAACAAATTATGGAAAACAAATTTTATTTGAAGGAAAAATCTCTACCTTTAATTTGTGGTTGTAGGAAACCCCCGAAAAATTCAAACTATTGAAATTTTCGAAAATTCAGAGTTAGGCGTGGAAGGAAAGATGCCGTGTCCTCGAGCCCTGTGGAAGCCCTGTTGAGAAGAGCGCGAGCGTTGTGTTGCGCTCCGTCGGAGAGGCCATTTGCATGCGCAGCCGCGTGGCCGAGCGCGTTCGCACGCGCGGCCGAACCGCGAACGCTGTCAGCCACTCAAGCCTCAGCCCCAGTGTTGCTCTGCGCCGGACACTTTCCCTCCGCATTGTCATTTCATTTTCGTTTTACTGGCACTG